AATATAGATTCATTTATAGATGTCTTATATCAACAATTAAGACCAATAAAACTGTAAAACGATTATTTAAAATACTTTTTGTGTTACAGAGCCTAGCCTACTGAAATTGGAGTTTATTGCCTTTATTTACTTTTAATGTTAAAACGACATTGCTATAACTTTTAACCATAGTGATAAGTTACTTGTTCTATGAATAACACTTTTCAATGTCAAGAAATCGTCCTTTATTGTCATTATGCATAGGGCAAATTGTGCTTCAACCTAATTGGTACAGAAAACAGTATTCAGCAACTTAAGTTATCCTGAAATCGGCTTTTGATTTAAACATGTTGAAATTTGTATAGTAAAAATAACATGTAGGCCTACTTGGCTATGTAACAAAGTTGGCTATAGTAGGCTTGTTCTTGCAAAGGACTAAACAGATATATTCCTAATAATTGAACTTGGAACTTGGTATTCGTCTTAAATCATAGCATAGCCTAGGAATAGTCCTATACAAGAGCTGTTAGCAGGAGTAAACTATGCTATTTTTTCAATCTAAGTTTCATGTCATATGGAGATTTTTTCGTTACAATTATCATGTAGTCTAGGCATATCTTAATTCTCATCAGGTAATTTCCTCTTTGTTAATTTAGTAAACCTTTGAAAAATCTTCGTAATCTAACCAAGGAAGGGCTTGTGATGATGAACCACAATCAACAGCTGAAGCTCAAGCTAGACCAGCTTTCTCATTATTTTTAGGTTTAGTGTTGGTTTCCATTAAAACCCAAGTTGAAACACTATCGATATAATAAAGAAACTAAATTGATTACTAATTTCCCTGTCAATCACTTGCAAGCATTCAATAGCTTCTCTTGTCACCGGTAACGTTTAAACGTCGTCTGCAACTAGCGATTAGCGATTTTATTTTATCTGACAGTAATCATAGAGTAGTAAATTAAGGAAATGAGAGCCAAAAATGTGGATAACACTCATTTAATGGCCTCCATGTCCACACAACGTTGTAATAGGGAATGAAACGGCTGCAACCAGCTGTATGAAGCCAAGAAAGTAGGCCTAATTTTTGTTTAAATCTCAGTTTGAAAGAGGTTGTTTCACGTAAGGTTGAGGTTATGATAAAAATCACTATCTCAAACAATGTTAATGTAGCGAGAAAAGTAGCTAAAATTCCGCTACAACTACGTTAAAAATGTAGCTAGCTACAGCTAAAGCTACAAAATCTTAAAAGTAGCGTAGCTACAGCTAACGCTACAAAAAAAGTAGCGCGCTACTTCCCAACACTGGTAATATGCAACAATTCAACCATAGAAGCACCCGGCAACTAAACTGACATGAATTGTTTACTTCAATGGCAGGAAACTAAACATTCAAGTTGAATCCTGTCGAAGGTCAATCGCCCGTGCGGCCGATCCAACCGAAGCCGAACTAGAGGGAGTCTACTGTAGCCTACAAAAATTGTTCTGTGTCATTATTAACCCCTATTATGTGTTTTACAATTAAATGATCACCTTAAAACAAAATTTTAACATGTAAACGTAAGTCCCCCTGTAAAACGCCAAGTATGAATGGCAATTTGAATTTGCCGCTATAATCACCGCTACCGCTCCTAGACTCCCGCTAGAGCCATCAGTGTCGCCCAACGATGTAAAAGAACTCCTGGATTGCGCTCTCAGTAGCAACTATTGGGCTTTTTTCCGTCTAGCTCCCCCACCTCTACTGGCAGTAGCCGACGTAGCCCATACTCTCACCATTTTTTAAAACGCACCTTTTTAAGTTGCCTACTGTTGAAATTATTTATAGATATGAAATATTGCTTATGTATGCCAAACTCTTTTAACTATTCTAAACTTGATGTCTTGCAGAAAATAGCACATTTGAACTCTTTGAAACCCGACTACATTTGTCGAGTTTTTACCGCAGATGTTTGACGTTAACGTGATAGGCCTACTTTTTTCTTTCACTTTTTTGTGACCTATTTTGTAAGATACATTGTCATTACACATTGAAAGAAAAAAATTTTGAGTTACGTCAAACATAGGTCTGCGGCAACAACTTAGCAAAATTATTCTATTCAGAAATGTTATGTACTATTTTCTCGTTTTATAAAATAGGTTTTAAATAAAAATGTGCGTTTTATAATGGTGAGTGTATGGGCTGCGTCGGCTTCTGCCAGTAGATGGTGGGGGAAGCTATACCGCGGGGCCAACACTGAGCCAGCGACATATAGATAGAGTGGACTATGCAGAGTTTGTCCGGATTTCATTTTCCATTTGATCGCCAAATAATATCGATTGAGCTAAGTTGTTATGAGTGTTGTTGTTATGTTTATTGTCTGTCAGGTCGCTAACGTCTATAAACTTATTACCTATTTATGGTAATAAAAATGTAATAACGGGAATGTCACCCGTTAGCACGACAGGCCTGTTCGGTTTTTGTAAATATTTTAAATGTATCTTAATGTTTGTATGTGTTACGTGTTTAATCTTCAACGACGCTACTTCAGCCGAGTTTGTGTTTTTGTAGTCTGACGATGGCATTGTAATGCCGAAACGGCCGTAACGTAGTTACACCACAAGAATTTGAGCTGCAGTGACGAAGGTAAAGCCTATTTTAGTTATTATACAGCTCAGGGGCTAAAACATGGATTTTAATTGTCTTTATAGTTGATAAGACAAATATTCGTAAAAAATTAGAAAAACTTATATTTAAGCTCTACTAAGGATAGCAATGTATAATGTAACACCATTGACTACTTTTTTTATTATTGGGTCAATAAAGTATGTATATTAACAAAATAATCTTTTATTTTTAGCGAATTTCCCTATAGGGAAGTAGCTATTACCGTAGGTCTCATGGTAAGACCTAAGCCCGGGACCGATTTACTTTTTCATTTTGATGTCCCCAGAGGCCAAAAACACCATTCGTTCAAATTTTTATATATCTATATATAGAGATATATATATATATATATATGTGTCCATCCGCACGATAACTTGAGTAATTTTTGTCCGATTTTGATAAAATTTGGTTTGAAGGTGTAAGGCGGGATAAACTTGAATGAGTTCGCGAACCAGCATGATCGGACTATGGGAACGGGGGTTTATGGGGGGTTTTATGGGGTAAAAATAGGTTTTTCCCATTTTTGACCCTAAAAACACAAAATTTCACAATTTCTTTTTAAACCATTTTGTAGAGCTTAAAAAAACAAATAATTTAGTATATTGAAGCGTTATTATGCGCCTAATTGTTACGGAGAAAATTCAAAAAAATTGTAATTTTAAAATTCCCATGTTATTCTTATGGAGAATAAGTCAACTGTTGTACTTTGCTTGTTTATGAACATATTTTGATCGATTTTGGAAAATACTTTTATTTCATACTAAACTGTTATCATTTTATAAAAACAATCTTTTTTACCCTCCCTGTTGCAGCAAACCTAAGTACTCGTTAAACTAATTCTATTTAAATAGGAAATAAATGTGCTATTTTTATGGAGGCATTTTAGTGTAAATCCAATCAGGTTAGTGGAAATTCGCTTAGTCTGCAGGTTTGCTGCGGCGGGGGTATTTCTATTTTCATTTCTTTCTCAATTTGATATTCACCCTTATATTCAGTTTTAATCGACCATCACATAAGATCAATAGATGGAGCACGCCTATCTAACTAACATTCAAGCAGGTTAAACCAGGAGCGCCATCTTACTTTAGGATGAAAACGGCACGAAAACTCAAATGTTTCGCTTCAAAATAACTTGACATTTAGCCTACTTAGACAAAAGGTAAATCGTTGAAACTTCGTATGAGAGATGTCAATAAGTCTAGGACAATATTGGTTCTAATTAAAAGCTTAAGAGTTAATATTTTCTATTTCAAATCAAGTTGGTACTTTTAAACAAGTTTTAAAATATGACATAAAGAATTTTGTCGGCTGCTACTTTTTTATTTTTTGGTCAGGTAAGTTAAAAAACGGTGGATTTTGTAGCTAAAGAGTTGAATTTTTTGATCATATTTTTTAAAATTTTTAGCTGGTGTAGTTTGGGGGTAATTTAAATTGTACTATAGGGGCTACCCGCCGTGCCGCGTTGTGTCATGCGGGCAGATTCTGCCTACAACCTCACTTGTAATACAGTTTAGATACTCAAGTTTGGAGCTATACAGAAAAGTTACTAAACTCCTACAAACGTTACTAAAGAAAAACACAGAGTAAATATAAACATTCTTTGTTTTATTCTTTGTATTAATCTAAAAACTAATATTTTTTTAGCTCTTTCACAAAAATTAATATGACAGTCAGAATATAAAGAGAGTTTCAGAAACTATCTTGTGACTTTGAAAATTCGTACATTGTAAACCAAACGCTAGAACTTTATTAAACTTTTATACGATATAGATACATATATATTATAAATTAATTTGTAGCTTTTCAGAATTTTTCTTTCTACCAACAAGTTTTTGTTGTTAATTACGTAAACTAACCTAGAAAAAAATTTAAAGCGTATTTTGAAGGTCATTGTGTTAGTAATAGAAATATTTATAATACAAAGGCGTATTGTCACGGATATTATTGATATCAACTAACATTTAATTAGTTGCGCACGCTACTAAGGCTTATCACAGCCGGCATCTTGGTGAAGATTAGTGAAAAATACTGGCTTCACGTCGCGGCCAATGTGCTCCATCTATTGGTCTTATGTGGTCGTTGGTTTTAATCAACTACGGTACTTGATTCCCGTAGGTAGGATGTTCCAACAGCTAGTTTTCATTGATTTGTTGAAAAAAATAATGTTTGCTTATAACTGTTTTGGGAGAAACAACAAACACTCATAAACATATAATTTCAAATGTTATCCCTCCAAGATAAACGACTATCATTAGACTATACCCTTGTATTGTAAGGCAATCTGAAATATCCATCAAAGCCTTAAAAACCTATGTGTTTTCTGTATAATTACTAAGTTAAAGACCATTGTTGAACCAAATTTGTTTTATTTTAGTACTTACGCAGCTTTACAAGTGCATTTTTCTTAGCTCCTTCTTCCAAATAAGCAAAGTTGACCTCCCAGGTTCGTAAACCCTCGTTTTCTTTACACCTCTTCTCTCCACAAACAAACTGACCCTTTCCTGACACCAGCTCTGGCTCGGTCTGCCATCTCATCGCCACCTGTTTAACTCTCAGAATCAACTTTGAAAAATGTATCATTAAGATAAATTAATTAGTTCTAATATTTTGAGAACTAAAAACTAAATAAGCTATTGGAGTGGGAAAAAGCACACAAAAAAATGCCCCTGCTGCAGCAAACCTGCAGGCTAAGCGAATTTCCATTTAAACCTGGCTGGATTGTCAATGTAATATTCCCTTAAAATTATCACATTTTTATTTACATAGGATTAATTTTAATGAGTACTTAGTTTTCATTTTACTAGTTGTAACACTAACTATAGACTAACAGGGTTGTTAGTCTGTATTAGCTCTTAGCATTGACTATTGGATACTGAAGGAGACATCCCATTTATAGAACACCTGTCGCCAATTTTTTACTAAAAAAGAACATAGTTATGTGAGCCAGTCACAAAATGCGCTAGGGTTTAAAATTCCATTCTCCACCTTATTTATTGTTGCTAACCAAGTTGATGGGTCACAACAGTTGATAGAGCTCACCATAAGTAATACCATTAGTTTGACTTTGATCAAAAGTCTGTGTACTCGACAGAAATTTAGTGATCTAGATCGGCACAATCTATGCAAGGCTCATATCAACTATGACAATTTTAATTAACAGGGTGTCTGCCAGATTTCTCCATTAGAATTCCCAACTTTTTCACAACTTTTCATTACCATTTTTTTTCTATCCCGACCAAAAACTATGTTCATTCTCCATGTTAAACATATGTTGCGGTCACGGCACCATCGTCAATATGTTCCACGGTCACGGCACCTTTGACAACATGTCCTGTCATAACGGTACCATCGTCAACATCTTCCGCAGTCACAGCACCACATCAACATGGGTCACGGCACCTTTGTCAACATGTCACCCGGTCACGGCACCATCGTGAACATCTTCCGCACATGTCTCGCGGTCACGGCACCTTCCGTCATGATCGGGAGTAACAAAATCCCAACAATTTTCTGAAGTTTTGGGACCCGTTTATCTGTAATTTTAAGGGGTTAGACTATTTTAGACTATTCCCGAAATTTATTACTTTTTCACAACTTATCCCAATCGTTTAAAATTCCCGACAATTTCCCAAATTTCCCAGAATTCCCAACTGGTAGACACCCTGATTCAAAAACTGGCGACAGCTTTAAAATGGGAATGGGATGTCTAGTTGTACTTTGTAGTCAAAGCTCATAGGCTGCTACAAAATAAAAAAATTCAAAAAGGTAAAAAAGTATTTTTTAATTGAAATGTTAATAGCATAGTATGAAACAAACAAATTTACCAAATTGATTGATTGATTGAATGATTTACTGAAACTACACCAGTTTTCTTTTTCTCCACAAGAATAAATGGGAATTTTAATATAAACTTTTTGGAATTTTCTCCGTAACCGTCAGGCATGCAAAAATTCTTCCATATATTACATAAATTATTTTTTTTCAAGCTTTACAAAATGGTTTAGGAAGAAAATGCAATTTTTTCTGGTTTTTTTTTTTTTGTTCAATAATGGTAAAACCAATTTTACCCCGTAAACCCCTGTTCCCATAGTCCGATCATACTGGTTCGTGAACTTGTTCGAATAAACATAGATTTACATGTTTGTTCCAAATTTAATCAAAATACGATAATTTTTGCTTGAATGTGTATGAATTTGAACAATTGGTATTTTTGGCCTCTGGGGACCTCAAAGCAAAAAAGTAAATTGGCCCCGGTCCCAGGTCTTACCATGAGACCTAAGGTAATAAATAGCTTAACTCCTATATGGAAAATTCGCTAAAACCAGTTTTTACATTGAATAATGGGATAATTTTACAAGGCTTGTCCATAAAAATAACATAGCCTATGTTTGGAATATAGGTAATGTTCTGAAAGTAGGATTTTCAATCATAATCTAAATCTTATCTTGTAAAAATCAGTTATTTATTGAAAATGTGTATGGTTACTCCTTGCAGGAAGACCAAGGACCAAGGAGGGTTGTGATACAGTCACCTAAAACTAGAAAATTAGGCCTAAATTTATATTTTCCATTTCACAGGAATAATTTCTCTTTTTCTAGAAATTTTGGTTGTGTGCATAAAAGCCTGCAACAACCCTGGATGGTCACAAACATTTCCTATAAGTTGTGGAAACTTAAATTAATTGTAAGCGTACGATACTCATGAAATATAATGGACAATAATACATTTTCAAACAGAAACAACCCTGAAGAGAAATAATTGAATTCCGTGAAAAAATATTGCGCCCAGGTAATGTGTTGACAATTAATTGCTTCACCGTATGTGTTGGTGTTATTAACCGAACCACACTTGGCAGTGTTGATCTAAATCAGAAATGTATCTAAATATGTCAAAATCTTGTTTAGTCCTGATAGAAGATTTACTAATTGTTATTAATGAGAGAACAAAACATTTACTTGAAAATCTACAAATGTCAGGGTGATCAACTCAAGGAGGCCACCATTGGGATATCGGAAACAGTAAGAGAAAACAGTAAGAGAAAACAGTATTAAAGAAAACTTTTAATCAGGGATATTCCTTTATTTTTTTGTGGCAGTTAAAAATGAATTTAGTTCTAGAGTGAAAATGCAAAGAGTAAATAAATCATAAAATTGCATCTACATTTTAAGTAAAAGTTTTCTCTAATTCTTACTGTTGCCGATATCCCAATGGTGGCCTCCTTGAGTTGATCAGCCTGTATAGAAGTCAAACCAACACTCTTAACATGCCTAAATCTAAGAGATTAACCAAGAACCAGAAGTTTACTAAAAAAAGTCATTAGGCCTACATTGTTAAATATTTTCCATATTTCACTTACTTTATTTTCCTTAAACCTACTTAAGTCACATATGCAGTATTCTTTGTAAAGTTTGTCGTAATATTTTCTTGCAAGCCTTTTCTCCCATGTATTAGGTTCTTCATCGTCATCCCATAAAAATTTGTGGTTTTCCCTGATAACATCAATGTCCCTTTTGTCCCTAGACCTAAAACCAAGTGCATTAAACAGCAAGTTTTATAAATACTATAACAAAAATTGACAACCTCCCAGGTTTGTAAACCCTGAAATCATATTAAGTATGGATCATCATATAAAGCAATTAAATAGGTAGGCCTACTCTAAATATATGATACTTTTAAAGAGTAAATAATGGTTCCTTTCAGGTACCAGGAAATTATAATCATGTATGACAGCTAATTTGCAGAATGTATCTGGTTCAGAATCTAGTTAACTCTATAATTGTTAAAAACTCTGGGGGGTTTCAGGGGCCCTATCCCAGTAAGCAGGAGTGGGGACTTTGGTGGAGACTTGGTTTTAAGATGGTAGTTGATGTATCATAGGTATACATACCCCATACCAGGTAACCGATAGCCGAACTCAGTTAGTTAGCCAATCCAGTCTGGGCAGTCTCAAAAGTGGCGTCACTTGATAAAGTTTGTGCAGTTACAAAAATGTAAGTTTAATTACAATGAACCTACATCATAGTCAACCTTCAAGTACCTATACATCAGTGGTGACGAGAAAATGCGTTTTAAAACAGATTAGTTAAGTGATTGTGTCAATAACTGCAAGTTTAAAAAAAAGTGAAAGCTGCCGATCGCCGGTCGGTGAGCCATTGTCGTCCATTTTGTCAGCGCCTGTCTGTGTTTTATAATTTAGTCGATAATCAATTTAAAATGTCTAAAGCACCAGTTTTTGTCCTGGAAGTGAAAGATTTTTCATTGTACATCGAAAGATTGTATTTCAAAATAGAAAGAATTGATAATGACATTAAAAAAAAGTTGATCTGTGTGTTAATTTTCAGCCTAGTATTTATGCAGAACTCAAGTCTTTATTAAGTCCTATTGAATTCAAGAAAGCAACATATAGTCAGTGTACTGAAGCAATAGCAAAAAAATACATTTAAGTCAAAATACCCCCGCCGCAGCAAACCTGCAGACTAAGCGAATTTCAATTTGTCTGATTACATTATTACTCAAATATTTCCATGAATAAGACATATTTATTCCCAATTTAAAAAACATTAGATTTAACGAGTGCTTAGGTTTGCTGCAACGGGGAAGGTAAAACGTGTTTTTTGACCATATGTCAATAGTATAGGATGAGATAAATAAATTTGCCAAATTTTATCAACATATATCCATAAAAAAGTAAACTACAACAGTTTTCACTTTCTCCATAAGAATAACATGGGAATTTTAAATTATACTATTTTTGAATTTTCTCCGTGACCGTTAGGCATACAACAAGGCTTCAATATACTAAATTATTTCTTTTTTTGAGCTCTACAAAATGGTTTGAAAAGAAATTGGAAATTTTTTTGTTTTTAGGGTCAAAAATGCGAAAAACCCATTTTTACCCCATAAAACCCCCCATAAACCCCCGATCCCATGGTCCGATTACGCTGGTTCGCGAACTCGTACTATATGTTCAATGGTCACCAAAGGAAGCGTGAATAATTTCATATGAAATTTTATGAGCTGATGTTACCTGAGAAAGATGGCGGAATTGCCGCGATGCTATTGGTGAAGTTTGCGCTAGCTCCGCCCCCCCGGCTATTGCCAGAATAGGCGGAATAGGCCTACTCATTAAATAGATTGGATTTGAAAGACAGTACTGTATTGAATAGCTGTAAGAATAGCAGATTTAGCATTAAATCTAAACCGTACAAAAGAATTGGCAGAAATTGAAACAAAAATATTCTTAAAACCTTAAAAGTAATGGAGAAGACATGGATACATACATTGAGAAGAATAGCAGTGACCCAGAAGTTGCATATGCTCACTGTATTTCAGCGGATTTTGATGACCAAAAGAACACATGAGTCAAGGAGTTGCCACAGTATTTAGAGACAAGTTTGGAAGACCAAGTAAAAAAGACTTTTGTTCAAGAAATTTGACTTATCAGAAAACTGTACAGTGTAACCTTCACCTTTATTTTTTAATGGTTATGCCTTCTTAACTTAGGCCTACTTTAAATTTTACATTATACCTTTTTTAAATTATCATAAATAATAGAGCTAGGGCAGTTGCATGAGTTTCTTTTTATCAGGGAAGTCCCATCTTTAATTTCAAAGATGTAAAGACTTATGGGTTTGTGTGAAGCTAGTGAACCTAGGCAGAGTCAATGAAAACACCTGTTTACAAAAAATATTTTATTTTATATAAAAACTACTTATATACATACATGAAAGATAATGTCCACTATAAAATACCCTTAGGCCTACACCCTAGCATCATCAAGATAGTTATATTTTACTTAATTTGTCCTTGGCCTAGGCTAGTAAGTTACTGTTCTTTAATTATTGATTTTCAGTACCATCTATGACTGAACTAAGCCCTTTGTAAAAGTATTTAATGATAAAAAAAGTTTATTATGATGACTCTAGAATTCGTTAAGTTATATTGAAGATGTTAAATCACTAGGTTTGGGTACTTATCCGCTTTTTAGTGTTGAAGTTCTCATGGCGTATTCATGGCATACATTGGCCTAAGTTAGTCCTACGAGTTCAGCCTAATAGGATAATTTCACATCACTAATTATACGTTAACACATTTTTATAGGCTGACTCGTTCATATTAAAATTTCTTGATGTTCCTGCATCTTGTATTTGTATGTACGAAGTACGATGCTATCTTTTTGATTCTCAATTATTCATAGAGACCAATAGACCAGCTCCGGTCTTCTTTCATGAAAGGTTACTTCAGCAATGACCGAGTCTACCGTTACAATTCACTACTCGCCATCCAAAATTTAATTCTTTAAGTTGTTGTTACAAATTTTGCAACATAGCTAGAGAAAAATCTAAAAGTCATTCTATTTTAATTTGGCTTTTATCGACCCCTGTAATTTTTGAGATATTTGCTTTAATAACTTTAACTATTTCCCACTTCTTCCATCTTTTTCGCGCCATAACCGCAAAATTAAAAACCATTCCTACACTTTTTTATAGTTTTTCATGAAATTAAATTATTTTCCCTATTATTTTATTTGGTGACATATGTTGTATATGAATGTAAATAAAACAGTGCTTGTTCTCCTATCCCAAAAGTGTGTTCATTTTTTTCTCCCTCTTATAATCTCCATTTAATTTCATTCTCTACAAATCATTCATTGGTCCTAATCGAGCCTGGATTTTGAATTTCAGTCTTTGGATTCAATTTTCAGAACACTTTCAAGCTATCCAAATATCTTTATTTTATCATTCAATCTCTTTATGTTTCTCCCCACTCTCATAGTGTCACGAACTCTATCTAATTCTTAGTAAAGTTTCACTCCATCTGTTTTGTCCAATATGGCTACCAGATCAATTTCACTCTCAAACTTTAACAAATCAACCCTTCTCATCCAAAATTCTTTTGAAAAGATTCTCAAATCTGTAGAAGAGCTTGAAACACTTTCCCCCTCAATCTTGTCAGTGATACAAATCAGAACTTTAAACAACTTCTCGAAACAGTTAGAAAAGAAACATGAAGCCTATGAAAATTACCTGGAAAGAGCCTTGGAACATATTTCAGAAGAATTAGATTTGGATGCAGTAAGTGACACTGAAGACAAACTGCGACTGCTATTCGTCGAAGCAAAGTCTCGCATTGAAGCCCTTCTCCAACAGCAGCCACAAGATGTTCCAGAAGAAAATAAAGATTCAACAAGAATTAGTGACATCTCAGCTTCATCATCTGCTCACGTAAGACTCCCAAAACTAGACCTCATCACGTTTGATGGTTCTCCTCTACAGTGGGTAAGTTTCATCAACTTATTTGACACAAGCATCCATCTGAATGAAAGCATTTCAAACGTCACTAAATTTCAATATCTTCTCAGCGTGCTCAAAAATGAACTACTAAATCTCGTAAAAGCTTTCAGTATCACTTCAGCCAATTACTCAATTGCCTATCAGCTCCTCAGAGACAGATACCACAACACCCGAAGGTTAACTACACTTCACCTAAACAAACTGATCGACCTACCGGACATTTCCTCTACCTCAAACAAATGTCTCAGAACGTTCCTCAACTTGTTTTATGAACACACAGAAGCACTTAAAGCTCTTGACTGTCGCATTACTTCTAACTCTAACCCTCTGTTGTCCACCATACTCTTACGAAAACTAGACAATGACCTTCTAAAACAACTAGAGGCTTTTAGAATTAATATAAAATGCGAAACAAATTCTCTACCAGAAGTAGTTGAAATAGTCAAGTTTCTTAATCAAGAGTGTAACCAAATGGAAGACGCTGTGTTACATACCAAGTTTGCTCAAAGTACGAACAACCACAATTCAAATTTTAAACCCAAATCTTTCACATCCAAGCCCTCTTTCATTCAAGCTCAGAAAGTTACAATGGTCTCTACTCCAACTCCATCAAATCAAGACAACTCAAAAAATCCTTTCTCATTTCCCTGCTTTGTCTGCTCATCAACTGGCCACAAGGTTTATGCTTGTCCTAGCTTTCTCTCTCTTTCTTCAAATGAACGTTTTAAAACCGTAAAGGACAACAACAGATGTGTCTCTTGCCTCGGAAAACATGATGTTAAGGCATGTAAGTCTAAAGCATCTTGCTTCAAATGCCACAAACGTCATCACACCTTACTTCATTTTGAACATGACAAGACATCTCAAGGTTCTACATCATCACAACCATCAACCACTCATGTTTTGAATGAAAAACCTACCGTATCTCTTTGCTCACAGGAAGCCAGTCCTGCTAATCAAATCCCTAAAACTGTAATTTTAGGCACAACACTGGTTAAAGTTACTGCTCAAAATAACGTTTCTCATGTGTTCAGAGCATTGATTGATAGTGGCAGCATGTGTGATTTTATTAGTGAAAAAGCTGCTCAACTACTGAATGCACCTCGTTTCAAATCCAACTTACAAGTAGTTGGTCTTTCTCAATCTTCAACTCTCACAAAGGGTATTGTGAACCTCACTGTTAACATACTGGCAGGAAAATTAGTTGCATCCAACCATGAAGTGCACAT